GGGTCGGGCCGGGTCGGGTGCGGGTCCGGGTCTGGCCGCGCCGCGGCGGCCCCGCGGAGGAGCTTTGTGGCGGCACGTGCGGGCCGGGCCGGGGTCTGCGCGCCCCGGGGCGGGATGGGTGGGTGAGCTCTTGCGTGGATGGATGGATACATGGACGCGGCGGGGCCGGCCCGGAGTGCCAGGGAAGCATCCGTGGCTCCGAGGGATTCCTGGAGTCAGCGGGCCAACAGAAATGCCCCCTCCCGCCCGGACCTCGGGCATCACAGTCTGTTTGTCAGGCTGAAATTGCGAAATTAGCGATGTGCAGGAAGTTGGTGGTGAAGGGTTGTTCTGGAAGCGGTCACCAGCACTCCCGTGCCTCTGTGCAGAGTGTGTGCGAGCGGGAGGAGGCGGAGAGAGAGGCCGGTGGCCTTATTTTGGTGTTTGGGAAGTGCTGACTGCCGATACCGACAGGCCCGGTAACGTGGGAAGCCGGTGGGCTGGGAGGGGGCTCGGGGAGGCGCGGATAGTGCGGTGCGGTGGGGAGCGCTTCAAAGCGAGTGGGAGAAACAGGATGTGCGGCGGCTTCCTGAGGGGCACCGGAGTGCATTCACAGCGCTCGGACGCGGCCCGCTTGTTTCCTTTCTCACGCAGCCCGTCGGCTTTTTTGAGAATGAAGCGAAACAAGTTGACTCGGGCATGGCGCTGGGGCTGAGAACCGGTTGTGAGAACGTGTTGAAGGATTAGGTTTGGTGGAGGAGTGGAGCCGTGTTTACTTAAATATCGTCATGCAGCCTAGATGTATTTACTGTGTCTTCAGTAAATAGAAGACTGGGTCATGAAAACAGGAGATGGCCTGGAGTGGAGCTGGAGGTGCTTTCAGCCCGAGCTGTGAGCAGTAGGACGTGGTTAGGTCGGCAAGGCTGAGCACACACTGAGATCTGCTGCTGTTAGCAGTTAGCACAGAATAATGCAGGCCAGCTAGCCTTTTAAAAAGCAGACTGTTAGTTTTGGGGTTAAAGCATGAATTCATAGAATCATAGGGCTATGGAATGGATTAGTTTGGAAAGGACCTTACACATGGTCTCATTCCAGTGCTGCTGCCGTGGGCAGGGACACATTCTGCTACACTGTCTCAGGGCTCCATCCAGCCTGGCCTTGACCGCTTCCAGGGATGAGGCATCCACAGCTTCTCTGGGCATCCTATGCTACTGCCTTACCACTCTCAGAGTAAAGAATTTCTTCCATATATTTAACCTACGTTTCAGCTTTTTCAGTTTCTTCCAATGGGAACAATAGGAACTCTTCATTCTGTCAGTGCAGAGTCCCTCTCTGGCTTCCCCCTGAGATATGGGAAGGTTGCTGTGAGGTCTTCACACAACCTTCTCCAGCTGAGCAGCCCCACCTTTCTTAATCTGTCTTCAGTAATCTCTAGCAACCAAGGTTTTATGTATTCCCTAGGGAGAAGGTCATAGTACTCCCTAGGAAGAAGGACTATGACCCACTTCCTAGGAGTACATAAGAAGTTAGTTGCTAAAGATTATTGAAAGTGGCTTATTTTTTGATGCTATTCTGCTTCCTATCTTCTATTGTAAGGTTTTGTCAACACTGGACTACACAACATGGAGTGAGTTTTACATTTTGGGATATTAAACTTGATAAAAGTTTTCCACTATGCATTAAAAAACAAAGGAAAATGTCTTGAGACTTATATTGAAATCAGTTTTATTGTCCCTTTTATGTATTATGGATTGAGCCTGTGGTTGTATCCTAACTTTGAATGTTCAGTTAACTGACGAAAGTGTCAGTAAACAGAGGACTGTGACCTTCCTGGGGAATATATGAAAAGTTCATTGCTGAAGATGGACCTGTAAGAACCCA